ATGTGTTAAAAAATAAACTTTGTGTGGTGCTCTTCCTTATAATAGAATCTGTATTAAAGATCTGCCAACAAAGTACTAATACTTTGTTCTTATTTCTTATCTGAGCCTTGTAACCTATTAAACAAGACTATAAATACAGTCATCAAGAAAAATAAGCTTAAGTTAAATGTTAAATTGTTGCAAAAATAATGTTTCTGATTAATTGTCTTTGTCAAATACTACCGTAAATGGTGTTGAAATTTGTTACTTAATCAAAGAACTGTCTAAACTGTGTGCATTTACATTTTAAAAGATTAGAACGCAATTTGCCCAGAAGATAAACAATTATGGTCCAATTTTATAAGTGTATCTTCAATTGTTAGAACATACTTTAAATAGGAGCAAGTATGTACCAATTAATTATAACTTAGAAGATTATTCTTAGCTCATTGTAGAGCTGTATAATTCAATCCTGAAAAAAAAAAATGCCTGTAAAGGCACAGCACGATTTTAATTAATTTTTTTCTAACTGTTTAATTTTTAACTTTTTTCCCAAAGTGTTTAATTTTTAAACAAGCTCTGCTAGCTACATATTTCATTCTCACCATCATATCTCTTAAGCAAGAAAAATAAAGTTAAATAAATTGGATCAGTATTCAAATAAAAGCCATTTAAAGTGATGCTCTCAGGCATTTATTTTTATTCTTCTGAAGTATCCATCAATCATATTAGCTCTTTAAAAAAGAGACCAGCCTTGAAGGCCCAGACAAAGTTTAATATAACAAGGGGAACTGCAATTTTAGAACAACATTTTCCATGAAGTTATAATACTAAAAAATCTGTAGACTGGGGAGATTTCAGATATTTAGATAATGATGAAATACACTACTATAGTGACTGGAAGAGATAGAAAGCAAAAATCCCCACAAATGGAGAAAATGGGATTAGAGGAGTCTCTTTTGGGGCAATGAGAAATTGCTTTGGGGATATTCTTATTTTCATAAACAATTTTCATTTTCACAAGAAGAATCCCCTGTCTACAGTCCTGATTACAAGCCTCTCACAAGAATAGTTTGTCGTGTTTTGTCGCTGTACATTTTGTGGTTTCTGAAGGTAAACCTTCTAAAATCAGTATTTGTTTTGATGTCTTGGTTTGTAGGGGGCTGATTTTTTTTACATTGCCCTAATGACATAGCTTATAGATAGAGACCTAAAACCTTCCCTGGAGCAATTGATTGGATGATATTGAGTAGATCTGCTGCAGCACTGCCAGTATGCTATTACCGATTTCGTGGCAGTAGAGTTTTCTTAGCAAGGATCATGGTGACATCTAGACTATGGTCATGGGGTCAGTGCCATCACTCGTCCTAAGTCCTCCTTCCTTTCCAGAGATGCAAATGATCCTGTACTTACTGACTGCACTGTTGTTAAAATTGCTGGTGATGGCCCTTGAATTTATTTGAAATTTGAAAAATATAAACCTCACAAGTGAGGAATGCTGACCATTCTGGGGTTAGACATCCACTTCTAGGTACCTCTGCTGCAGTGACTGTACTTGGCAAACATAGAGTGACAGTCCTTCCAGCCTAGAGTTCCTACCTTAATGGGACAATTAATGGGACAATTAACCAAAAAAGTATTATTTTTTCCAGGTGCTTTATAGTTCCTTAGAGTACCTGTTTGCTGAATTGCATCTCTTGCAGTAAACCAAAAATAATATTTCTGCTATCAAATCTCAGAAAGAACTACATGTGCTTCTAAAAAGATGATTTAGTGTTTGTGTCAAGATATTAAGTTCTTTCTTCATTGAAATAAGGCTTGACTGGGTTCAGTTGTTCTTCATATTCAGGTATCAAATGACAAGACAGATTTGGGGTAATGGGTTGTTTGGTTCCCTAGTCAGGATAGCCCCCCTCAGTCCTTTTGATTTAGTATATGTTCTTATGGCTGCTGTCAGTGTATTAAATCCCCTATTAAAAAGAAAAAAAAGACATGAACTAGTAAGAAAATTGTGTTTTAAGAACAAATAACTTAGTGATTAGAAAATCAGGGTAATATGACAATGTAATTTCATCTTCTAGGCAGTGTATATGTATATGGCTGCATATTTATGTTACTGTAATTGCTCACCCAAAGTTTTGAGACTTGCAGGTATTAGAAAACTTTAAGCCTCATTCTGAGTTAATATAATTCAACACAAAGGCAGCAGCTAAATATCTGCTCCTTTAATGTTGGTATGTCTTGAGTTCTTGTATTTAAATACGTATTCTTAATTTTATGTAATAGAGTCAGTTATATCTTTTGCCTTTACATGCACTTTTTGAAAGAAAGGTTAAATGGGAGAAAAATAAACTGTTGATATTCATTAATGTTTGAAATATCACTACAAGCACTTAATGATAAGACTTCCAAGTAAGAAGTACAAGTTCCATTACAGTGAAATGGAAATTCAACACTTAGCATACATGGATAATTCTGTAAATGTCAACTGAACTCACATTTTACTAATGTTAACTCAGTGTTTTGAAAATCAAAACTCAGTATATGGAAAGGCTGGTTAAAGTGGTAACTTTTTTCCTTTGCTGCCCATGTATGTTTAAACCCTATTTCTTTTAATGGATCTGCTCAACTTTAAGGATTTTCTTGTTTCCTTGCTCTTGACATATCACTTCCATAGGAACCACAGAAGCAATTGTATAGACCACACGTGAGTAAAATTCTAGTGATCCTGGGTAAATCTGAGGAGCATTAATAACTTTTTTCAATGCCAGGCTTTTTAGGTCATCTGAACATTGAGAGGAAAAAAATCTTAGAAGGTAATAGGAAGAATCAAGGGGGAGGAACTGTGGAAACTGAATTTTTTGACATGTAGGAATTGTGTGAGCTATGTGGTCATAACCATAGCAATGCTGACTGCCTGACTGTGCCTGGAACAGGCACACAGCAATTTGATGGTCAGAGAAGAACCAGTAAGACCTCAAACCATGCCAGGATCTGCACTGTAGTACCAATCTGCCCTGTGTAGATGAAAGCAGTTCATGGTAGAAATGAGACATTACACCTCTGATTTTGCTTTAGAAGGCAATATTGCTGGTGTGTCCTGCGCATGGTTAAAAGTTTCATATTCCTAGTAGCTTTAAAATGGATTACATTTTTCTTGTCCATCCTTTCAGTTTTGCTTGGGAGAGTTTACACCTGAATAAATATCTGTGTTTGTATCCATCAAATGCAAAATACCTCAGTGGTAGTCAAGGTAGCCCTTTGTGGCTCTGTTAGCAAGGACCTCTGCTAAAATTCTCCAGGAAAGCAGCACTATCCTGGGCCATGTCAGCTCAGCAGAAGCAAAATTCATATGACCATCTGCATCTGAACTTGCAGGTACACCCTCTGAGCTGATGACTGTGCTTGCCTCAACCTCAAGACTTCTTATCGCTCAGAAAAAGCATAACAAAAAAGCAGGAGGCATTAGTTCCCCAAAGTTTTTCAGCCCATAGTAGTAGGAGTGCACTTCTTTCCCCCTAGTTTTGCCTCAGTTTAGCTAAATATTCTTTTTATTCTTTTTCTTAAGAATCCATCATAGTTGTTGGGACCAGTTAACCCAGAGAGGAAACAACAGTTTGTAACCCTTCACGATCATCAATATATGGTTTCTTACCTTGTCTGCTTCCTTCTGAAGTACTGAAGAGGAACCAAAACTTTGAAATGCCAAAAAACCACACTGATTTCATTTTCCAGGGACTCAAACATGGCCAAAGAGATCAGCTTAAGTTTTTAATAAAGGCATTCATCACAGAGTGAAAGAAAAGTCTTTTTCCATTTCAATATAAGAATTTTTTGCTGGAGAATTAATAGATGGGAGTAGAAGAACCTCTTTGTTCTTGACTGGGATTAGCGCAGTCTGTGGTATAAGACTTCAGTGAAATCCTCTTGTAATTAAAGTACTGATGTAACCTTTTTTTTCTCCTCTGTTGTATATTCTGATGTCAAGTTTTATAGCAGTCATTTCATTTTTTGTTCCACTATATTACTACACAGACATTAACAGCAACTGTATGTACTTCTAGATTCTCTAAAGAGGTCTTGCATATGAAGTTCCAGAGGTGGTTCAGCCCAGCCATTATTAACTAGAGAACTGTGTTTTGGTATAATTTTTACCATCAAAAAGAGGTCTTTTTTTTTCCTGAAAAATCAGAAACATATTCCTCTGAGAAATGTCTAGCTTTACTTGTAAGAATACCCTTTAGCTCACAGAACTTTCAGCTTCTATGCTTGTATAGGAAACATAAACAGGATAGGATATTGAATGCTCAGCTGAGATCTTTTTAGAAGAAAATGATACATATACACATACTGTACTAGGTCTGAATTTGGCTTCAGGAAGCTGTCATTTAACTGTGGTCTGAGTTGATATTAATCGAGCAGTATTCACAGTTCACAACCATCCTGTGGCATAGCTGGTTTTGTACTGGTATTAATACGCTGAAAAAAGTGAACAGATCTTTCTATTTTCTTCACTCCTGACAATACCTTGTTTAACTAGCATTATCGCAGAACATCCTTCCTTACTTGTATGCTACTGTATGAAGATGGAGCACTTTTCAGCACAAGCAAGGAGGAGTTTCTGGCTGATCAGCTCCTGTTCTAAAACAGTATTAAGGACAAGAAGAGCAGATTTGGCATAGAGCCCAGCAAGAGAATGATAAGATCCTGTACTAATTTGGAGAGCTTGTGTTACCTGTAGGTTATGTGGCACATGTGTTGATGAACTACATGACCATATTTTCTAGTCTCCTCACAACATGACAGCATTATGAAAAGAATGGCAAGCATGTGTTACCCATTAGAAAGTCCATTATGATGGCCTGGAAGATATTGGTGGCAGTAAAGAGATGCAAGTATAATTTTCAGAAAAAAGGTTACTGTTGCACATTAATTTTGAAGTCTCATAAATGTTCCTCCTTAGTTTCCAATATCAGGAGGCTGATTATTTACCACAATGCTATGACTGATTTCTTTTGTAGAATCCCACTCAATGTGAGAGACATTGTCTACTGTACAGGAGTTTCACTGATGGATGAAGATGTATGGGAGTTCATTTGGATGAAATTTCATTCCACCACAGCAGTGTCTGAGAAGAAAATATTATTAGAAGCCTTAACTTGCAGTGATGACAGAAACTTGCTCAACAGGTACAAAAATGTTTTATATCTGAATCTGTTACCAATAATCACTTCAAAATTTATGGATCATCACTTGAGGTTTGGTCTGAATGAAAGAACTTTGCTTTTCAAGCACACACTATCTGTTGAAACCTTCTTATGCTTTTGCATTAATACATATAAAAATTGACACATATTATACCTTTTCACTTCCAGATTTTCCTATGTTCTTTGGAAATGTTTGAAATCCTGTAATTGCTGATATTTTTTGTTAACATATCATTTAAGTGTCTTGACCAGTCTGACCTTAGAGATTTCATAAAAATGCATACATAAAGCTCCACTTAACTTGTACTGACATCCTTTTACATCAAGATTTTTCTGATTCATAAACACGTCCAGTCTTTGGAATCATAGAAATAAACCACTGAACTCACTTGGAGACTTAAACAAACCATTTGGCAGTGATTTTTTTTTTTCTGAGAGTTTTCTGATGTGCTGATATTAGACTGTGTGTTGGTGAAACTAAGTAGGATTTTTTTTCTTGTTTCCCCCACTAGACTTTTGAATTTGTCTCTCAACTCAGAAGTTGTCCTGGATCAGGATGCAATTGATGTGATAATCCACGTAGCTCGAAATCCACATGGAAGGGATCTTGCTTGGAAATTTTTCAGAGAAAAATGGAAAATATTGAATGCTAGGTAAAGATAAAAAATCTAAATTTATTTTCATTTTCTTATCTTGATATAATTCATGTGTATTCATGTAAGTTCCTGAATGTAGTCCATTCTCTTTTAATTCATAAATAGAGATGTCTCTAAATATGAAATACATACATATAGGTCATAAATGCATTTATTCATAGATTATCACACACGTGCATAGAGACATTGTCTCTTAGCAATCATCTGTATACATATTGCTTTGTTGTGTCTGCGCTTATGATAACGAATTCTACCTATATATCAAGTGCTGCAGTTCTACTTTTATAGAGATAAAAAGCAGAAGTTCCCAAAGTAGTTTTTCTGATTTTAAGTCTGATAGAAAAAATTATCTTTTTAAGAATGTTATTTCAACTGTGGAAAAAAAAAACCAAACCCTTTTTGAAACGTTTCCATTTTCAAAAGGATGCTAATGTAGTGTCATCCCTTTTCTTTCCACTCTGTGTTTCAGGTGAGTTTCAAGTAATAAAGGACCAACATTTGAAATTAAAAATAGATGAACAGAAAGGAGACAGGGTTGCTCCTTACACCTGCTTCTCTTTCTCTTTGAACGAGTGCTACATGCTCGTACTCAGAAGCCCAGTCAACATTTTAAAATGTTTTTTGGTGAAGATTTTTATATTAATTCAATGAATGATGAATTTCTTTAGTTCTTTAGGGACAGCCTGAGGGCCTGAAAGGTTGCACAACAGCTCATCTGATACTGACAGATTAGAAGGGACCACAACTCAAATGAAGCTTGGGTTCTTAAAGGCAGGTGTCCAAGAATTTCAGATATTCCACACCAGGCACTCCTGTGGTGTTGGCAGGAAAGGTATTGGAGATATGTTCCATTCTGGACTTGTGAGGAGCCAACTGGTGTACCACAGAATATTTGAAATGGTATATTTAAGATGCTGTATTTAAGGAACTAAATGCCAGTGCCTGATAAATACAGGTACAAACTTTCTAGAGGTTTCACAGCATCAAGAGTCAAGGAAACTCAGATGCTGAGCAACTTTCCTAAAAGTTCAGAAAGCTGTTCATGCCGGTTTGGATAATATTTTATAGTATAGCAGTATTTTAGAAGAAGTTCAGCTGGGAAAATTGGTTTGAGCTGGAATTGGTTTTGGAATTTTATATTGCAGGAGCATACTTTTTGACAGCAATTTCCAAAAAGCTTTAAGAGTGCTGAAGAGTTTAAAAATTAAGAATTCTCTGCTCCTGGTGTGATTATTCCAGGAATTGGACTTCTACATGAAAACTGAATGGCAGACACATTACTATTATGCAACCCAGTGCAGATGCCAAATAATTGTTCAGGTTCCTCCAGGGATTTATACAGAGTTTAGGCATAAAGCTATCACAATCTGTATTGCTGTAAACACATATGCAGTAGTCGTGTTTTGCCTTAGCAAGCCCATTCATCTGACAACATAGCTAACACCTGTGATTTTAGATGTGGACAAGGTTAAGCAGTGTAGACAAGTAGAAAATATTTAGAAAACTATGCCACATGCCAAATCTTTTTTGTGTTTCAATTTTAAATAGCTTAACTTCACCTAGAATTTGAATTGTATTTATTTCGCTTGTGTGGAATGCATCACTGTGTAATCTGAATTCTTAACAATCAGCAAGATCTCATGAAAAACCTGTTATTGTCCTTTTTTTAAAATGAGAAAATAACAGTCTGTTTCTTTGCCCAACACTGTCTTTGTGTTGTCTTCATTCAGTTTGATCTCCAAACACAAGTCAGAGCCACCAAGAAGATTGTAGCAGTTGATTTTTCTGAAAGTGACATCCAGTTGAGTTTTTATTGATCACTGAAAGATTCAATGCAGTGGAATAAAACAATTAGTGCAAGCTGTACATATGTGATGTAAATTGAAAATAACATTGTTTTGTAATCACAGATTAGAACCTTTTAAGTGAGACTTCGAGAGGATGGAATTAGTCTAATACTTTGCCCTTTAATGTTCAGTGAAACAGTGACATGATAGAATGCGAGGTCCTACATCTGGGTCATGCAATCCAAGGCACACCTACAGGTTGGGCAGAGAAGGGTTTGAGAACAGCCCTGCAGAGAAAGACTTGTGCATGATGGTTGATGAAAAACTCAACATGATTCGGCAGTGTGTGCTCGCAGCCGAGAAAGCCAATCCAGTCCTGGGCTGCATCAAAAGAAACATGGCCAGCAGGTCAAGGGAGGTGGTTTTCCCCCTCTACTCTGCTCTTGTGAGACCCCACCTGGAGTACTGCATACAGTTCTGGCATCCCCAACATAAGAATGACATGGAACTGTTGGAGCAAGTCCAGAGAAGAGCCACAAAGCCAATAAGAGGGTTGAAGAACCTTACCTGCAAAGACAGACTGAGAGAGTTGGGGCTGTTTAGCCTGGAGAAGAGGTTGCATGGAGACCTCATAGCAGCTTTCCGGTATCTGAGGGGTACCTACAGAAAGTCAGAGAGGGACTCTGTCAGGAACTGTACTGATAGGACAAGGAGTAAAGGGTACAAATAGAAAGAGGGGAAATTTAGGTTAGATATTAGGAAGAAATTTTTTACTGTGAGGATGGTTAGGCACTGAAACATCTTACCCAAGGAGGTTATGGATAAACCAACCCTGGCAGTGTTCAAAGTCAGGTTGAGCAACCTGTTATGGTGAGAGGTGTCCCTGCACGTGGCAACAGTGGTTGGGACTAGATGATCTTTAAGGTCCATTCCAATCCCTTAATGTTCTACGATTCTATGATTAGGGTTCTGATTTAAGCTCGCCACACTAGGACATTTTTAAAATACATGCTTTGTTGTGGAATTATAGTTCAAAAAGGATACGGACCTCTTGGAGAGAGTGCCACAGACGGCCACAAAGATGATCTGAGGGCTGGAGTATGTCTTCTATGAAGACATGTTGAGAGAGTTGGGAATGTTCAGCCTGGGGAAGAGAAGGCTCTGGGGAGACCTTGTTGCACCTTCCAGTACTTGAAAGGGCCCTACAGGAAAGCTGGAGAAGGACTTTTTAGTGATAGGACAAGGGGTAATGTCTTCAAACTGAAAGAGGGCAGGTTTAGATTGGATAATATGAAGAAATTCTTTACTGTGAGGGTGGTGAGGTACTGTTGGATGGGGCTTGGAGCAACCTGGTCTAGTTAAAGGTGTTCCTGCCCATGGCAGGGGAATTGGAACTGGGTGACCTTTAAGGTCTCTTCCAACCCCAACCATTCTATAGTTGAAGTGATTGAAGTATACTCTGTCCCAAGGCATCCTTTTCCTACAATTATAATTTAGTATTTAATCTGATTTAATATTAAAACACATTCTACGAAAAATTAATTTAATAAGGTCATCTCAGTGGTATTTTCCATTTAATTTATTATAAAAGGTGTTGATGTTTCAGGTAGTAATATGAAATAGCTGAGGGGGATTGAATTATAATGCTATTGCCTCCTATTTTTAAACACAGCATGTCAAGGAGTTAGAATTATCACAAAATCTTGTTAACCTTTCATATTTTTATAGTATGCTTGTATTCATGTTGTCCAGAACATACTGATAATGTATAAAGTCTTCAAAATCACCCATATAATTTATAAAGATGACTTAAAACTTGAGTTACCTAACAAGTCTTTAGTAAGAAATCTGTGGGACTGCTACAGTTTTAAAAAAGAGAATTGAAAATACTATGCTTGAGTTCTTGTGACCTAAGCATTCACTACCTCTTAAAGCATTTTCATCCTGTGTGCACATGTGTGTCTGTGTGTGAAAATTTAATCCATCAGCTACCTATCAGAATTCCTTCATTCTGAAGTGCTGAATCATTTGTCAGCATTTGAAAATTTGACACTATATGGGAAGGCATTTACATCTGTGCAAAGTAAATGGACTTTGCTGCCTCTCGAGTTTGCACAAGTGCAAAGCCTGTACAAATTTGGAGAACTGGAGTTTTACATCCACAGAAGGAAAGGTGCAGGTGGAGAGCCAGTGTCTCCAGAGTGTTTCCAGGGAGTTCAGGCATGTAATGTCCTAGTTCTGTAGTGCTGTTGTCTTTCCTGTTAAGGGTGAGAAGACTGACACTTATAAGACCAAATGCTTTTCCTATTTATTCTTCTGTATCACACCTGCAAAACACTGTTTCGAAAGTGACCTTTCTAGAATTTTTGCTGGCATAGCTTGTATAGAAATTGCTGTTAATGGCTGACTTTTTACCAAGTATGCCTAATGGGCAGTAATCAGCACAGGTATGCATGAAGGTATCATTTTCAGTGGAAGAAATTCTGTTACTTCTTGTTTGCACTGTGGCTACGGTAGGCTGCAAGAAAAATAAAGCCCCTGCAGCTCTTTTTATGAGGTCACTTTTCTAAAGTGGATTGGTAACCTCGTCAAAAGACCCCATCAAGACGAACTTCCAGTCTTCCAAACAGTCAATTATGTCTAAACTGAGACTGTAATAATAAAGGGCTTTGTTAGAAAGCCTAAACATGCTTAAGGACCATGAAATCCATACTTCCCATAGGAGATGTTTGCCTCTGGATGTCTGTATATGCCAGTGTGACCGAGGTTTTGGGAAAAGAGATGTACTTGCTGAAATATCCGTGAATGATTCAGGTATTAGTGGTCAGGGAGTAGGATTTTTAATACCTCTGTGTTTCTCCTCACAAAAGCTCAAGATAGCAAGCAACGTGGTGTAAACCTTCCCTAAAACAGAATCTTATCAAAGAGAACCTAGTTCTCTTCCCTCTTCGTCTTTATATCCTTCTCACTTTGGCTATCTCTCTCCTTCTCTTTCTTTCTCCCTTTTGAAAGAACTGTAGCTTAGAATACCTAAGCATTGAAGGGTAATTAATTTGGGATTAATAGAAGCAAAACAGAAAGTCATGCCTGCGCTAGTTCATTTCACTTGGAATTTTGAATTCCTTCTATAAATCAGTTTTTAAAAGTGGAGGATGAACTGAATTGTTTCCCCAGATAAACTTGATTGCAGTGAAGTCTATCGGTAATACTTACACGTCTTACAGGAGAGCTGGATTCTCTATCTTAAAAACAGTCATGTTCAGATTAGCTAGATATTGCTTTGGACGTGTATGGAGATGCAGATAACGATGACTATTTGTCAAGTGTTTTTACGATGCTGAATGACATCTAACTTGAGCAAAAGACTTGCTTTGGTTTTCCAGTGGAATTATATTTTTCATGCTAAAGACTAAAAGAGAAAAACCACATCAACAAACCTCACAAACTATTTTAATGTGAAATGTAAGACTTAAGAAGTAGTCTGGTCAGGAGTCATGTAGATGCTTCATTTGGAGAATTGAAAAAAACTCTTGGAAAAGCAAGTGAACAGGAGGATTTGAATGGCCAATTTCAAAGCAACTGTCTGCTGAAGGTTGTTGCTGGTGGCTGCTGAATATCCTTTAAATATTCCTTGCCCAAGCTTTGAAATTTTCATTCCAGGTTGGTTCTTTGAAGATGCTACATCATGGCCCAGGGGATTATTTTAGCAGTATTATTCTCTATCAGTATTATTTATTTTAATTATCGGGTACTGGAACAATAAAATTTGATTCAGTTCATTTATTGAGAGGCAATTTGTAATGTAGATGAGGTGAATGAATAAAAAATGCAGAGAAGGCTGCAGCATTTCAAAAAGTCTGTTTTAATGGTACAGCTAGAGGGGTTCCTCAGAATACTTCTCATAGTTGTTGCTCTGCTCCTTCATTGACATCTGTATTTTGGTGTCATTATGTGGAAAGCTGTTCTGTTAAGCGTGGTTTGGTCCTTCCCTCCTCAGAAGCGCTCATTTGTGTCTGTAGTAAAGCCCATTCTGCTTAAGAGCATCTGACTTAAAATAACTACAAATATTTCAGTCTACAAGAGCATCTCAGTCTAGGGTTCTATCATGAAACACTGAAATATCAGTGTCCAGTTCCAGTACTATTTCCTTGATTCCCCAGAATCAGTCCCATGCCTTTTCACTTGCCTACAGATGATTACTTTCTAATTTTCTATGCATCTTCTTTTTGCCCTTGCAGGTATGGAGAAGCATTATTTATGAATTCAAAGCTTGTCAGTGGGGTCACAGAATTCCTCAATACTGAAGGAGAACTAAGAGAGGTAATTTTTAAATTACTTTCGGCATGTGAGGCTGTATTTGTCATAGACATGGGGTCAGGCAGGAACAGTAATAAGGTTGTCCAGAAACTCTGGTTGCTCAGCTGCAGTTGATGGCCCAGCTGTCCATGCAGTTGGGCAGCACAAGGATGAGGAGCAGATTGCAAAATCACACAAGTGTGTAGAGGTGGTGTCAGGAGGGGGATTGTGCAGACACCTCTGTGCTTGGCTGGATGTGAAGGTTTGTTTTTTTCTCTTGACTATTGGTTGAGAAACTAAAGATGAGATGTTTCTATCCACATTATTTTATGCTGCAGAGGCCAGCCCTTGAAAACAGCAGTGTTGAAAGTAGAAGCATATTCTGTCTTTTTCTCTTGCTTACAGTATTTTCCATGTGAGAAAAGCTGTTAACTTGAATATGCTGACCAAAATAATTTGTTCTAAGTGCAAAGTACTTATTATTTAGATTGCAAAGATTTCTCATTTTAACTTAACATCTGTCCTGACTGAGGTAGTTGTGCAGTTTTGCTGAGCCCTGCTTAGCAGCTGCTCAACCTTGCCCCAAATGGATCCAATGGTTCATATTGCAGCACAGTCACCATGACTTGAACTCTGATTGCATTATGATATTTTGCATCCAACCACTTGTCTGCACTCAAGTCTAGTGGCCTCAGGAACTTAGGGAAGAGCTGCAGCTGGTTTCCTCAAAATTACCCAGGTGGGAATGATAGTGCTGGCCAGATTTGAACATCTGCCCTGCTCAAGGAAGCCTTTTGTACTGTTAGTTTCAACCTCCGTGACAGCATTGGCAAGCTGCCTGTTAATACTTCCCTTAAAGAAACTGGCCTTTCTTTTAAACCTTTGTAAATACTTTGGTATAAAAAGTACAGAGATCAAGTAAAGTCTGATTTTGATAGTTTCCAGGTCCTTTCCATGCTTTTAACTGTGATGGGAAACAGACAGTTGCAGAATCAGCCTTTACAGCTTTGAGCCCACGCACAAAGAGCAGTTGGAATTTAATAATCAAGGTGAATTTGGTGTCACCAGCAAACAGAAATTCACTAGTTATTCGCAAGAGTTGCTAACGCCACCTAATTTTATACAAGTCAATGTAACATGGGATCTACTATGCAGATCAGCCTTGCAATTCTCACTTAGAAAGAACAGTAATTCAAAGCACACCACCATTAGCTGTAATGATGCAGGTGATGGTGCTATAATTTGAGTATACACAAGAACACAGCAGGGGTGTTTTCAGTCTGCAGAAAAAAGATCAAAGTTTTCTCATAAGGGAAGGGGTATGTTTCAGGCATTCAAACATTGTTAAATGAGTGCCCACTTGCTATTTTGCTCTTCACACTGTAACCATCCCTTCCTTTTTTCAGCAACAGACCTGTATTATATCATCAAAAGGGATCTGCAAATGAAAGTAAAATAAATATATTGTGAAGCTTGATAAAACCAAAAGACATCAGGGCTACCTTCTCATATTTGCAAATAAACCTTAATTAGAAGCAGTTCCAGTGCTCACGGTTCGGTTTCTTAGGTAGAAATAAATTTTAGAGCAGCCATCTACGCAGTGCAGCAGCTGAGCTGTAGGAGGGAAGGAGGTAATGATATTAATGTGATCCAGCGCTGACATGTCAATATCTTCCAGTGCAATGTGAAGCAATTGCATCACATCTAACTGACAGTGTGCTGTCTTATTACATTTCCTACTAAATCTTTCTACCCGATACTGCATTTACTTCTGCAGTGATCATCGAGGTTTGTCCTAAATGCCTGACTTGTTTGTGTGCAGTGGAAATATTTGCTTTCTTTAGTTGCTGCAAATTTAACCTGTTAACTTGTATTTCCAGCTAAAGAACTTTATAAAGAGTTATGAAGGGGGAGCTGCTGTCTCTTTCTCTCGCGCCGTGGAAACTGTAGAAGCCAATGTGCGGTGGCAAAGGCTTTATAAGGAAGAACTATTCCACTGGCTAAGAAAATCCTTGACACACTAATCTGTCTTTTCAGCCAACCATTTAACATGACACACTGCAAGAAGAAGAGGAGACATTTTAGAAGTGTTCAACATGAAAATCAGCAAGACAAGATCAGATTGCAGGGATAAGGGATTTTTTCTTTTTTCATTGTGGTTTTTATTTTTACACTGAACTCTTGTGAAATTGTCAAGAAGATTTTCAGCAGACAAGATCATGAATGTTTGTGAAATCTAGTCCTCAATGTACAGAACCAAACATGATATTAAGTGATGCATGTAAATGTTGAAGAAAAACAAACAAAAAATCCTTCATAGACTATTTTGTGCATGCTTGTACTGTCTCTGCCTGTATTTTAGCATGCTTATGTAAACAGCCACATTTTATATGTGAGTTCCAGTTACATCAAAGTTGGGCATTATACAAAGCACAAAGACTCTATGACAATCAGTATTTTGATGAACAAAGGGAAAGCAAGGAAAAGGAAATGCAGAAGGCTTCCAGCTTGGGGCAGTATGAGATGTAAAGTCAACTTTCCTGCTCTCTGCCAACTCATCTACCACTCAGATTGTCTCTTAATGATTACAAGGATACCAGCTCATTTTTTGAGTTGCCAGTTGTTCCTGCAGTTGCCATATTCCTGTATTTAAATAAGCAAAATAGTGAGAGAGAGGAGAAAGAGAAAGGGTCGAGGAGGGGCATTAGAGAGAGAAAATGAGGACATCATCCTTGCATTATAATCATGTATATTTGTTCACTGCTGATCAGTGAAACAGTGTAGTTTTAGCTGTGACTGTGTGCAGTGTTGGACAGGAACTTCGCATTTATTTCACAGAATCCACGAACCACCTCTTCTCAGCTATTTTACAAGGCACTGATACTCACAATGGGTCACCCATGTTACCCAACCTGTGTAGTAGTAAGTTTTGTAGCTGATAGTGCACAAGTATTATAAATAAACATAAGATTCAAAAGGAAATTAGCGAAAAAGGGAGAATATCTTGCATGCAAAGACTTAAAATTACCCAAGAGGGCTGTCTTGCATGTGGTAGACCAGCCTTTGTAGTGATTTATTACGATAGACAGGTCAGATTCTCTATGTGGGCAATACTTCTGCAAATATGGAATGTACCATTTATGCCATCATAGAAAAGTGAAATATGGAGAAAGTGAGGTGTGTGTATGTGTGTTTATTTGTACTGAGTAATATTGAGAACATGGTTTTCTTTCTCTTCCCTTATATTCCACATAGACTGTTGTAGATGGGTGATGGTTTTCTTAATCACGTTTGTTTCTTCTTAATCCTTAATCTGACAGATCAGTAACCCAGTGGAGTTGTACAATGACTATCTACGCCACTGAACCTAAACGTTGAGGATAAAAGTGATGGGGGCCAAAATCTCTCTCATGTCTACATTGTGGAGGAAAAAACCACAGAGTTACAGAGTTTTCAGGAGGCAGATTACAGCAGCTTCAGAGGTAGAATGTAAATGTGCAACAGTGTTTCTTTATCCCATTCCTGCCTACACCAACCATCTGAGCACATCTTGGCCCTGTACATTGGGAACATGTGGCCAACCAAAGTAGAGAGCAGCCATTTTATCTGGTTGTTTCCTTCACAAAGCATGGAAGTTAGCAACACGCTTTACAGTTGCAGTTGCTTATCCCCAGAAAGTTGTTATTTGAAACATTACTGCCAAAAGAACTAAACTCAAGCATCTTCAGATATTTTCAGAATTGTGTGGAGACAGTATTTTTTTCTGGGCTCTCATTCCTGTTGTAGTCTGCTCCTCAAGAACTAGTAGACCCATTCCATAACTAAGCTGTCATACCCATCTTGCGCCTGTCATTGTGTACCTTTAACTGTGCAGAGGGTGTTGTTTGTGGATTGCGTGGTGTATGAAATCCTTACGTGGGCTTTTTTTTTAGCTGTTCAGTGCCGTGTAGTACGTTAGGTTGGCTCACATAACCAAAAGAAGAGGGAATCCTGTGCTCTTGTACTGGTAACTCTTTGCCTTATAGTAAGCCCTAAACCTTTGTGCTATGTTCCAGTGCTAGTGAGCCTAATACCCAGAGACATTGTCTCAAAACTGAGTGAAATCTTCCTCCTCCTATGTATTTTACCTACCTCACAGGGCTGTTGTGAGGCTTGACTAATGTTAGCAAAGCACTTGAATATCCTCTGATAAAAGGCATTTAAAAGTGCAAAGTATTATTTTATATGGTTGACCAAACTCAACCTCAATGCCAGTATGTAGCATCACATTTTTAATTTCTCCTAAGACAAATCACATGCAGATTTTTTTGTAATAAAAAAGCAAGCCAAATACTATTTAATATAACCTCTACCCTATAATGAAGGCCAAAATGATGATATCCAAAGAGTATTCAGAAAACCAAGACCTCAAACATGAATAGCTTTGAGGATTTCAGTGAACAGAAGTGTGAAATGGTCTGTCCCTTTACAATTTTATTCCATATTGTCTTTGATGACTTTTCTTTTTCAGAACCACAGATTAAACCACATATCTTCAGGATGTGCATAAAAGTTTCTGGTCTTCCCACTGATAAAGGACAGGCTAACAATATATTCCAAAGTCAAAATACACAGCCTGTGTATTTTGCACAGTGCACAGAAATTTCCACTCTTGATCATTTGAATTGAAGTTCTTGCACACTTAGCTGGTGTTGGATGTACATTAATGTTTTAGTGGCCTTGAGCAACTGGTCTGCCACAGATATCAAGCCCTAAATGAATATATTATACGTACCTATTCATGTGTTGCTTATAATTGTTGTATTCTAGGAATGTTGGTATTATTTCTCTAACTAAGGTTCAGCTGACTTTTCCATTATAATTCTCTATTATTTTATTTTTTATATTCTGTATTTTGCTGTTTCACATTGAATCAGGATTAAATTTAAATGGATTAAATCCAGCAAAATTAAAACTGTTTTCTACGATATTCAAACCCTGCATTTGTTTATATGCCTTTAGAGACTTTTCTTTTAATAACAAGTTCCTCACAGCTGTGTGTTAAAGAACAGTTGATTCCTCATGGAAAACTCTAATACAGTCTGCCTAGAAAATCTATTTATTTTATTGATTTTCTTTCTCCTTTACCAGTCCTTTTCTTCCTTTGTCCTTATCTAAAGATAAGGAAGCCAAATATTCCAAACATTTCAGCATTTTTTAATCCAGGATTTTACGTTATCCTTTCCAATGAGAGGAGATCTTGCAAAATGTGAATGCAGTGTGGACATGACCTCACCTAGGCCCTGCGTTCATTTTATAGAGATTTGATGAGGCTTGAATCTATAATCAGCCTTCGTATGACTCAGGATCCTTTGCAGTTATTAATTGATATGTCATCCTAAATCATATAGGAAGACATATGAATAGACATGATTCTATGCCAGCATAACAAAATGTCTATTGTATTTTTATAAAATTGTCAACTACAAATATCTCGACCTATTATTTTGTAGCTGGTAGAATAATTCATGTATCCATTGCTAATAGCTGTTAAAATGTTAGTAGCTACTAATTGTGACTAGGACAGAACAATGTGAAAACATTCTTCTGAAATGAAATGTCTCTTCTGCTATTACTGGGAGTACTTGGACATTTATTATGATAAAAAAACTTTGTGTCTTCTCCAGTACATCCAAATCTGTGACCTTTGATGATCTTTTCAGTGAATATAGCAAGAATTCCAGTACTATGTTAGAAACTGAAGATGAATTTCGTGTAGCTTTTGGTCTGTTGTGGATATTTCACTGAGATTTAGAGTGCCAAAGGAAACATATCTAATGATGCAGAAGGTTACTTGCACAGCAAAGATCCTGAACCATACAATTAAATCTTTAGTAATAAAGTATAAAAAAAATGAAAATTATATATATTATGTGTGTGTGTTAGTGTGTGAATGTGAAAAATCCTCCATAGAGATATTTTTCCCATAAAAATTTAATTATTTGGATAGAATTAAGTGAAGCCAGTAATTGCAGGTGAGGGTGCCTTTGTTTAGAAACCTGCATCATAAGGTTTGGTTTTCCACATGATCATAGCTGATACTGAAAATAGACTTTGAGTCAAATGTGCAACTTTTCCTTTGAGGAAAATGGCTGTGGCTTTGAAAATGGTTTATGTATATAATCTACTTAACACCACTCCTGTTACAAATACTCACCATATCAGGCTGCCTGCCTTAATCAGGGTATATAGGCACAGTGTCAGTATGAGCATGAAAGAGTAAAAGGACCATCCAGCTGTGGAGCAGCCTGAAGAGAGTCTGTTTGCCCAGCTGTGGATGAAGCAGTCAGAAAAGTGCTGGATGTGTTACCTGCCACTGCCACGAGACCACCTGGGTTAGGAAGCCATCTGGGAACCACCGAAATGCAGAGAGGTTCCATCGAACTCTCTTTCAGCTGTTTGGGAGGGACAGAAGGTCCCTTTGCGGGGTACAGGTTGTGGGTGATCTTCAGAGATGAATATGATTGCCCTGTGCTAGCAGGAAGCAAAATATATGTAAAAGTCTACAATATTTTAGTGTCTGTTCTTCAGAAGTAATTTCAAACAGTCAAAAATTATTTTTCAGATATAAATAGGAACATAGACACTCTTTTCCTTTCCATGCTGATATGAGTAATTTTGTTTACAGTGGGAAGGAAGGGGAAGAAGGATTTTTCACCAAAGGCCACATGCCCTAATTGGAGCAGAATTTTAAAATCAAGTATATTTCGAAGAATCTGGTTCCACTTAGTTCTATCTTGTGTCTATGCTGACAGTGAGGATTCTGAGCTTGACCTCAGAATATAGTAATACAACTGAGGTTGGAATTTATAAAAGACATATGGAGCTATTGAGATGTGTTTAAGGAGAATCACCCAATGAGCAAGTGCTGTGGATCAGACCAAATGTGCTTTCTCAGAAGAAAAGGCCCTTAAATTTGACTGATTTGTAACTAGCAAAGTAAGTCTGACCTTGCCAAATAGTATTTCAGAATGCTTTGCTTATTTTGTGTGCACCATTTCCTAAGAATATCAGTGTTGTTGGTAAAGAACACGGAGGTGAGCAGCTTTGTGAGAGCAGAGGGGCTGTACTGCAGCAGACAGTCATGAGCCAGGAGACTTTTGCTAGAGTGCCCCAACATTTTCTGGGTAGCATCACTTAGATCTGCCTGATAAGGATAGCCTTGATACAACAGATCATGCCAAGAGCCAAAATGCAGTCTCAATTCTCTGTGTTATGTTTCACTCCACTTAATATGTTCATTTATGTAATTTCAGAGTAATCTGTAGCCAAACTGACAGCACGTGTGTGGCTGCAGATCCTCTGTTGGTGCAGTGAGGTAGACCCCTTGAAGTGACTAATGTGAATTAAAGCTGAGGATCTAACCCACTGGTCTCAAAACAGCCCCCCGAGGTGATGGCTCGGCTGGTGTACAGGATCTTTTGTGTATTTGTATCTAACTTTCAGTAGCACATATTGGATGATAAATGTTTTTTGTTTTCCTTTGGTTTTCATTAGAATAATACTTTGTGATTGGTTCCAATGTGATAAAGTTTTATAATATTTTTTGACAACTGTAAAATACTGTACTGTGAAGAGTGTGGCTACTACCCTCTCTTTTTCCTGCAAACAATAGATTTCAGCAGAGATGGATTTCCCTGGACTTAGACACTCTGCAAAAAAAAAAAAAAATTCTGACAGTGTCTGATGGAAAAATCATTGTAATTACTGTATAACTACCCTGTACAAAGACAGCTTTATTATATGTGTAAATGTAATTTTGCTATGTTGCTGTTATGTTCACAAGACAACAGGCTTCAGTGTGGGTGAGACACAGAGCCTTATAAAAACAGAGATTGTAGCTTCTTGTCTGATGTTTTGTTGAAAGGTGTCTAGTTGCTCTATTTTTGCAGAAGATAAACATAAATCAGTTCTCTGAAAACTAATGATCTATTCCACTACACACATGTCCATGACATAAATGGATCATACTATTGAAAATAAAGGTTTGGTGATAAATTTCCTTCTTTTCCCAAGACACTCCACATGTAAGATCTTTTGACACTTTAAGAAGAAAGAAGTCATCCTGCAGCTGTTAATGCTGGTTATAATGGATGAGTCTTCTGTTAATTCTGTCTCAGCCTTAGATTAATTCTAAATACTCTAATTAGAAGAACATATTTTTCCATCACTTCTCAAATCTGTATTCTTTGGAATTCAGTTCTTTGTCAAGTAAGAGGTGGAATTGGTTCAGTTTAGATACAGTTCACAAATGGTTTCACACAAATGTCTGTTTGCCAGATCAGAATGTTGCTTTCATATAAAGAAAATATAGATGATTGTGTAATATCACATTTTTCTCTCTATGTACCATAGATATGTGCATGTATAGCTTCTAGTTCTGGATATTTTGCTTTGACAAAGCATTCATTGATTATTTGTATTTATAGATCTTACTCAAAAAGTTTCAACTCAGCAAAACAGTTGGATGTAAGGCAGGATGTGAGGCTGCGTTGACCAAGACTCAACCAAATATGTAGGCATTTAGGTAGGACCACTGATGTCTGTGGGATTAATCATGTGCTTCAGATTAATGAATACTCATTGCAACCTCATGCATATGGCTGAACTAGTCTTTCTGGAAAGTGATTTAAGTGGAAACCTGTTTCTGCACAGGTTTCAGGTGCAGGATATGGTGATGTTTTGCTGAATTTAAAATCACAACTTAACTTCATATAGAGCCAACTGCTCTCCTCTCTAATTTTTTTTAATGGAAAACCATATTTTTCATATAAAGGGGAGATGTTTACTGATTCTCAGTATATCTAAAATGCCAGATTCAACAAAAATTTTCATTTGTTTGGAGCATCCTAGGATTTTTAAATAAAAGCAGAATTATTCTTACAATGTTAATTAATGAATATAGCACTAATCATAATGAATATAGAACTAATCCACAATTGAAACCATTAGCCAAATAAAATATATGATTCTGTTTCAGTTTAACAGAACAGTGTTTTCTGTTATATGCCTTTAAAATGACTACATAAATATGGGACCACTATATGTTCAACATAAAATTTTTATTCCACTCTAAGGACTGACTAAATGGATTTTTTTTAAAGAGGAATGTTATCTTCTGTATTTTAAGCAGAAAAAAATTGAATTTTTTCTCTGATAATAAAATTTTGTATAGTAATGTGTAATTCATCACTGTCTTAATTTTCTGATTTGGAGAAATAACTAAGATAAATAATGCCGGGCCTTTTGATTGTGTTCCCATTTCAGTTGAGATAACAGTTTCATAATGCTGAGTAGATAAACTGAGGTTTTACAATGAAAAAGATGCAAGAGAAAGTATTTTTTGACATGAGGAATTTTTCAAAACATATTAAAATGCTGGGACTAGTAGAAAGCAGAGAACCATAGAAAAATACAAAATTTGGGCTTGGAGGTACTCTTAAGCACTTCAAGACTAGCAGGACTAAGACTGGAATAGAGAGCAAAGTCTGTCTTTTGTGCTTTTCTAATTATGTAAATTTTGAATAAGCAAAAAGATCTTTTCATTGGTAAAAGTGATTTCAACTAGAATGCAGTTCAAATGACTTTTTAATAGAGTACTTGAATCCAGGCTATTATTTTCCTTTTTTTAAGAGCAGTTTTCAGTAACAATGAGATGTGAAATATGTGCAATTATTTAACCATTGGATACAATCATGTTCACACTGAAGTCAATTGGAGCTTTGACATTGACATCACTGGGAGTAAAAGCCAATCCTGTATTTTTCAAAATACAGCTTTCAAAGACAGAATGTCTTTTTTTTTTTTTTTTTTTTGGTTAACAATAAAGATGCTTTCTTCTGTACTGCACATCTTAGTCTGCTGAAAAGCTGGAGGGAATTTTTAAGGTCCTGATTTTGCAAAGCACAACAGACAGCTTTGATGCTTTGAGCCCAGGTAGGCAGAGCTGAGGTCTAAATGACTATGTTTATAGTATCCTGCCTTTAAACACTTCACTGTATTATACTGGGGCTAGAATTTGGACCATCCAGTATGCGGTATCAGCAGAATATGGAGACATACCCTTCATACCTCATTTTCCTGAGTTCAGTTCTGGATCAGGTTCAGGGGGCCTGAGGAGGAGGCTTGTGGGCCAATAGAGAGCTTTCACATTAAGAGGGGACAGTGGAATGTAAGATAAACTATAAAAGGCTAGGGTGTACTGCTCCTAGAAGGGACCTTGTCCCTCTCTTTTCTGCTACATGTACCTCCCCATGAGTGTTGAATGAGTTGAGGCAAAGTACATGACCACCTTGGAAGCATCCTTGGGAGAATGTGAGGAGGGAGAAATGGCAGTTCCCTCTGAATCCCACAGGCAGCACATCTCAGAATCAAACATCAGAAAGAACATGCTTGTTTCTTCCCCAGTGTGGCCACTGCAATGAGCAGCATTTTGTTCAGTGGCTGAGCTGCTTTCAAGTTGAACATTTTCATACAAGACCAAATGAAGAGCTGTTTATTTACTCTCAGCTCAGTGTCTTCAGTAAAACCAGAACTTTAAAGTCACCCATTTGCTTTGAAAGCTCCTCAGCTGAGCTGGAGAGTGTAGGAGGAAAAGAAGCTAGAGCCTTTGGCTTGTAAATTGACTTAGGAGTATTTGTTATCTTAATAACAGAAAATCAGCTTTTGCTGACTAATTTCCTGCTTCCTCCTATTCATAGCAAAAATATATCTAGTTCGTTTAAACTGCACCTTCTGCATGGAAGGCACCACACAGAGTCACACTGCTATCAGAGTCAAGAGAGTGAAAAGAAACAATTCAGTAAGCTGTTGACAATCCTGGCTTTTCTGATAATCGAGCATGTAAACTCCATGTTAGGCAAACAATATTGAGAATGACGTGACTGAGGCTGTCTTATGGATGAGATGGGAAAATGAGCGCAAAGAGATTTTTCAGAAAGTATAGTGAAGGTAAGGCTGAAATTATGTGAAATAATAAAGATATGCTTGGGAAATTAAAGCCTCATTATGTTGAAACTTAGTCTTTGAGTTAGCAGCTACATCTACTCTGGCCAAAAGGTAATTAAAGTAAACAGAAATTGCTGAATGATTAAAAGGAGGCACCCTACACCTACCAGTAGTTGTTTTTTGCTTCATGGGGCTGATGTCAAACTACAGAAATTCTGTACTGAATCTAGCCCATACTGTCCTCTATGTTTCTGTCAATTTGTCTGAAGTCAACCCATAAGAATCTGAACTAATGGTGCAAGACTCAGTGAGAACTGCATCAACAGGGTCATGGTGAGACTGCATCCTCAGGCACTCTTTCCATGGGTCACCTCCTCCCCTGTCTGCTTCTCTGGCCACAGCAACTGTAGGAACAGCAGGTAAAGCCTGGGTGTATTGTTAAGGTTTTGCCTTGCCTCAGCAGTAATAAGAGGACTGCAGTGAAGAAACTAGGGCAGAAGGATCTTAGGAGCCTTAGTCTTCCATGGTGCTAACCATCCTGCCCCTGATCCTCCAAAGTGCCCCACTTTCTGCTACACTGCTAGGGCTGAACAGCAGCATTAGGGCTCAAGGCCCTAGTATGGCACTTTCATTATGTAGTGTATTGAGCATAGTGTTAATTACTCATTGTACTGCTACAGCGTTATTTTTAGCAGGTATCATTTTGCTTCTTGAACTTTTTCAGGAATCATTTTGTCTGTTCTACTTGCCATCATTTTTGACCTGCTCGTTGCAGAAGGTTAGGAAAAAGAGGAGGAAGTGGGGGAGGATAATAAGATGCTATTACATGACATGTCTATTACAGCAATTCATTTCATGTGGCACAGAACTGTTGCCAGTGATAAATGCATGCTCCTGGTACAATTATGAGATGTACCTTGAGTTTTCCAACAATAAAACTGTCAAAAGGTTGCAATAGGCACAAGCACAAATGTGAATCCAGCCCTTAAAAAGATGAAATAGCTCACAAATATGGTTTTAAATAAATGGTATTATTTTCAGAGATACACTTTTATATCCATTAAAAGTATATATTGTTTCTACTCTACAATCACGGATGTAACACATTTTTTCTCATTGCACTCATCTGCTTGGCTAATTGATATGTTTCGAATACATTTCTGTGGAGGTTAGAGTAATGATGTAATAATAGAAGTCTTAGCACAAAATCAGCATGTATTTCCAAATATATAGGTGGAAGTCAGAGCAGTTATGTCCTTTCAAAAAGCCTGCAAGGTTTTGTGTGGTTAATATCAAAAGCAGGTTAACCCAAGCAGGTAAGTAACCGTAAAGGCAGGTAAGTTGCTCCAAAGGACAGCACATCAGCTTGGAAAGCGGAGGCACTTTGGGGAGGGGTTCTTTCTTGATTGTATTCTGAATATTTTTGCAGCTATAAAAGACAAGCAGAGGAAGATCTCAGCCAAAAAAAGATAAAACAAATGAGAAAGAAAAAAAACCCAAACAAACAAGACACAAGCAAGAATTGGGATTGTGGCTCTGAGAAAAGCTTACACAGAGGCACTTTGAGCTAAATGCTGAATTAAAAGACTGAAAAAAATTATCTACAGAGGATTATTTCACATCAACAGGCCTAGTTTAATGATAAGCAGTTAACAATAATCTCCAGTGGAACCGGCAGAGCTCAATACTTTATGTTGAAAACATTTTCACTGGCCAAGATTAATGAAACATGCACTTTAAAATATTCCTCCCATAGTTACCACCAAGTGTAAGATGTTATTTCTGCTGAAGATAAACACTGGTTGATGGTTACAGCTAAATGTGAAGAGTTTGAGAAACAGTAAAAGGTCAAGGCTTCCTTACTGCCTTACTGTGACTGGTTTAGGCTGGCAGGCCAAGAGCCTTGGTTAGGGTTTCACCCAGTGTGCTCTGCAGCTGCAGATTTTTCACTTAAGTTTTAAAACCAATTAAGGCATAAACTGTACCATGTATCCAGAGTACTTGTACCATATTAAAATATATGAACTGCTTAGGGGAACTCTTGCTTGAACTAAGATTAGCTCACAGAATTCAGTAGCAGATAAATGGTTGACTCAGGAATTTTTTTGTTCTTTTTAAATCTCTTTATTGTTGAGAGTATTTTTCAGTAACTTATAGTTCAGCCTGGGAAAAATAGTCAGATGAATAAAAAACTGAAGACAAAATATCAGGATCATGGTTCATAAAAGCTCTCTCTGCATCTGTCTTTACATAATTCATTCTTCTGTGACCTTGCTTAATACAAAAATTTCAAAGGCATGGATGTGGTTTGCATTTTACTGGTTTTTGTGTGTACAATAAATGAAAATGGGCAAATATTTAATTGATATAGCTGCATGGAATTTCTATGGAGGCTAAATAATCAAAAATATGCATATAGTAAATGGGAAAATGGTCATGTTTTTAAAATTAGATATGCAATTCCAATTGCAATTTTAAAAGCATTTCACTTGTGTTCAGCAATTCTACTTTGTAATCAAGTATAAAATGATGCCACACATTTTAAATATCTAAGTGATTTTTTTAAAGCTATAAAAGGGCAGAATTCTACTACTGGCTTCCTACACATGTTAAACTTGCAGCTTCTGATGCAGAAGCTACATTTGAAAAATTGAAGTAAGCAATGAGATTTGCTAAAACCAAGAGATTAAAGGAAATGCATAATGAGAATTGGCTCTACATACTTAAGCAAGTTAAGTGCAGGCATGTATAGACAAGTCAATAAACTCAAACAGAGTTGACTCACTTTCAGTTGGGCAAGATTGAGTTTGTCTTGCTGGTAAGTAAGTCTGTTCACTTACTCTAGGTTGTGCCAGCAACTTCTAATTTGTATCAGAGTTGGTGGCAGAAGAATTGTATCCACTGGTCTGAAAGCACAGCAGGACTGGGACTTCCATGTGTCCTCACAGTAATGATTCAATTAATGTACTATCCAGTCCCATTTTAGCCAAGCCAGAGAGATTTAAACAACTGAGACAAAGCAGTGTAATGCGCTACTTCAAAAGAGTCTGGTTCTTACAATGTGTGTCAGACTTGCTAAGTTTAGTTGTCTGCTAGATAGATGCCTGTGTCTGAGTTAGTTGTAGAGGATCCTTTAGTTAACATGGTGAAAAAAACCAACAAACCGCATCATAAAAAATGCAACTAATGCAGTAAGGTGGATAGAAACAATGAATATAATTAATTTTGGAA